GAGATACCTCTCCGACAATCAGAGTGACAAATCCTAATCTCAATCTATGCCAACTCAACAAACACCATCGGAGACACCTGTAGAGTATCTTTATAATCACCCAGTTACGTTGTGATGTTTGATAGCACACTAAGTGTCGGGGATATACCCCGCGGTAGGACCCTGCCGGATATATGACCCGGCCGGACTTGGCGTTTTATTGGTAACCCGCTGGAGGATTGGTGGGTCACGAGTCTGGCGGCTTATTGGACTGATGACTCACGAGCCTGGCGACTCACGGATGGCCTCTACGTCGGGTCAGATAGAGGACAAGGCCCAAGGCCCAGAAGCCCGGCTCATGTTATGGTGGGCCGACTTAAGAGGAAAGGCATAAGGAATATTCTCCTACAAAGGAAGGAAGACTAGGACTCCACTTGTAATAGAGTAATCCTAATCCTACTAGGACTAGTCATGTAACCCGCCCCTTCAACATATATAAGGAGGGATAGGGCACCCCAAGAGGGATAGAAAATAATGGCTAAGGCTAGACACAAATAAAAGGGGAGCCGGCTTATGCGGCGAATCCCTCATGAGCATAATGAGACCTAGCCACAAACAGCATGTAGGGCTATTACCGGATGTTGTTTCCCAGGGCCCGAAGCTGTCTAAATCCTTGTCTTGTGTGTTGCATCTATCGATTCCGCTCAACCCCTCTCTTCTCTCCTCTTTTAGTTTTGCCCGTCTACTTAGTTGGAAGAGTACAAAGCTCTTAACCATATGGATGTGGGTTCGAGCCCCATGGAGAGGATTACATCATATGATATTATTTTCAATGAAGTATATATAAAGTCCCAGCTTAGTATTATCTTACTAAGCCGGCCCTTGGGGGCTACTAGTTGCTGTTCAAGTCTACATAATCATATCTACAAAGTCCCTGCTCATTATTGCATAATGACCCGGCCCTTGGGGGCTACACTGGTTGAAGTTTTTATGAGCATAAGGCAATTACAAGTCCCAGGTTGCTGCAAGCATGACAACCCGGCACTTGGGGGCTACATATATGGAGTATTTAGTCTTTACTAGAGACTGAGATGAACATCATGGATTTCTTCAAAGTGGCAAGATCTACATTTTGAAGCCGGCTGAAGATCAGATGAGTATTTCAAGACCAATATTTTTAAGCATTGGGAGCTGAGTCAAATGAATTATTCTTCACAATTTTTCTCTGTGAGAAACCAATGTCAGCAAATTGATTATGAAGTTGGCTTATTGACACGGATTTTCTAGAAGAAGGATTTAAGGATGTTCAGGTGCTGGCTTACAAGAATATTTAACCCGGAGCACAACCTGTCAAATTTGTTCTTGCGTTATTTTGCAGGATCAATTTAACATGGATAAATCCAAATTAAACTGAGGGCTAATGTCGGGGACATACCCCGCAGTAGGACCCGGCCGGATATATGACCCGGACGGACTTGGCGTTTTATTGGTAACCCGCTGGAGGATTGGTGGGTCATGAGTCTAGCGGCTTATTGGACTGACGACTCACGAGCCTGGCGACTCACTAATGGCCTCTACGGCGGGTCAGATAGAGGACAAGGCCCAAGGCCCAGAAGGCCGTCTCATGTTATGGTGGGCCGGCTTAAGAGGAAAGGCATAAGGAATATTCTCCTACAAAGGAAGCAATACTAGGACTCCACTTGTAATAGAGTAATCCTAATCCTGCTAGGACTAGTCATGTAACCTACCCCTTCAACATATATAAGGAGGGGCAGGGCACCCCAAGAGGGACAGAAAATAATGACTAAGGCTAGACACAACTAAAAGGGGAGCCGGCTTATGCGGCGACTCCCTCATGAGCATAATGGGACCTAGCCACAAACAGCATGTAGGGCTATTACCGGATGATGTTTTCCGGGGCCCGAAGCTGTCTAATCCTTGTCTTGTGTGTTGCGTCTCTCGATTCCACTCAATCCCTCCCAAGCTACCACATAGATGTGTTGGCCTCATGACTAAGTCCTTTCAACGAGGACATCTGCCGTGACAATTCCACGACACTAAGTGTTCCTGCGGTATTCAGGAGTTACATAATCTCATGGTCATAGGAACATGTATAAGTCATGAAGAAAGCAATAGCAATAAACTAAACGGTCATAGTGCTAAGCTAACGAATGGGTTTTTCCCATCACATCATTCTCTAATGATGTGATCTCGTTCATCAAATGACAACACATGTCTATGGCTAGGAAACTTAACCATCTTTGATTAACGAGCTAGTCAAGTAGAGGCATACTAGGGACACTCAGTTTGTCTATGTATTCACACATGTACTAAGTTTCTGGTTAATACAATTCTAGCATTAATAATAAACATTTATCATGATATAAGGAAATATAAATAATAACTTTATTATTTCCTCTAGGGCATATTTCCTTCAAGAACACATCAAGAAGGTTGATTGATTGATAATATGTCTTACAATAGTTGTCGGATGTGATACACAATTACAAAGTATGGCTAATTTGGATGAGTGTTATGGTGATGGTTGTGGCTATGGAGACGGGAAATGGTGGCGGCTAGGGTTGTTGTGGATGACGAAGATGAAGGTTTCTGCAATGTTCTCTTCTCTTTTTGGTGTTGGACCCTTCATGATATTTGTTGGGTTAGATCAGGGGCACCGTTGGTAGCTCATACGAGCGCATGCGCTCGTATGAGGCGCTTTCTTGTGCTCTGGAGTCTTCCTGCGCTTCCCACCTAGGCTCTCCTCTCCTTTTTACTCCTTTCCATTTATGTGCTTGATTTTGTCCACGTTTAGCCCCATTTCCTATGGAAACTAAATAAAGATAGGTTTGTGAAATCCTTTGCATTCATTAGTCATTAGTAGCAATATGGAAGTGGATATATTAGTTTTTGTGAAATAAACCGGTTTAATCTTAGGTGTGATGAGCGTAAAAATAGCACTCATCAGTTGGTTGTGCTGATGAGATTAGTGATGGCGGTCGGTGGTGGTGGTGATTCCGGCTTTGAATTGTTGGTGGTTGGGCTTATCGAGGCCTGGCAACAACACCGCTTGGTGTTGTCTAGAGGCCTTCTTCTCCTTATGTGCCCTTCCTCGGCGGGTCTTCTAGGGTTCGCCTGTGTGTGTGTGTGTGTGTGTGTTTTAGTTGTGTCTCCTCTCTTGTTTTCCATGTGTACTTTGGTTCACTTGAACCTGTCTTGTATGGAGCTGTGTGGCTTCTAGGCAAATTCAATACAAATATATTCAGGTGGGGATATCCACCCCCGGTTGGCCATTCAAAGAAAAAAGACCACTCACTTTGGCCAAGGCCACTAGCTAATCAATATGGCCTCCATTTTGAATAACATCTCCATCAACAACTTTGAAATGACAGTTTTTTCTCTACACGTACTATATATTAAAGAAGAAAGTAGGGGTAGAGAGCCCCTCCATGTTGATGTTACATATTACACAACATGAACACCAACTCCACGCGACACACTATTGTATCGATGCTAACTACTCATACTATCCCACACTACTAACTCCCCAAGGAAGGTGTTAACGTCCCCCTTGAGTATCCCCGCTTGCTTTCACGCTCTTCCCTCGGCCTCAATTTTGAGGATAACATGGTTCATGGATGGGGTCGTGCCGTCGAACACAACGGCCTTGCGGTGCTTCCGCATTTCCCAGACTATGTACGAGGGTTAGGATCACCCTGGCATCCGTCTTGGCTCTTCCCGTCCCACACTTACCGGCGCACCATTGCAAAATAAACTCACCCCTTCTCGAAGCCCACTCCGGCTTGCCCACCACTCCACATACTACTGTCCAGACTCCCCCGGCAAACACGCAATAGAGGAGTAGATGGTTTATGGTTTCTTCTTCCTGGTGGCAAAAAGGGCACTACTCTTGGTGGTCCAGTCCACGACGAGCCAGTTGGTCGGATGTCCAACATCTGTTATGTAGGGCAAGCATGCGGAAAAAAACGGCATTGAAGTAGGGCCTTGGATCTCCAAGTGAACTCAGCCGTCGAGGCCACCTCTCTGCCCCAGAATCTCGCTGCGTATGATGTCCTCGTCAAGAAGCACCCGTCCTTCTCCCAGGACCAAGCTATGGAGTCGCGTACATCAGGGTTTAGCTGCACCCGCGTTGTCTCAGTCCACAAGTTTAGGTATTCCTGCAACATTGGGGCTGTCAATTCCGGCCCAACACCGGTAGCCTAGCCGCCGTCCGTCAATGCATGGCTAACAGTGCAGCTAGAGCGCACCCGGGATTTGATTAGGGCATATATGTTCGGCGCCACCTCTTGTACCCTTCGGCCATTCAGCCATCTGTCCTCCCAGAATAGAGCATTGTTCCTATCACCAATTGTGCAGTGAGCCGCCGCCCTAAAAAGTTGCTTTGATTCCTCAGGCACGTTGATTTGGAACTCCGCCCATGGCCTTGTAGGATCGGTACGTTGTAGCTACGGCCATCTGGCCTGCATCGCTATATTAAGCCACTTCATGTTCGGAGTGCCGAGGCCACCATCCCACTTTGGGATGCAAACTGAGTCCCACACTACCATGCATTGTTCGCCGGAGGCCTGTGCTCCGGCACACCGAAGGAACCCACGTACTACCAGTTTAATGCCCCAATTATACAGCTGTTGTTGAAGATGCTCTTAGATTGATCTTTCTGTTCTTTATCAAATCTGAAACTAATCGAGCTGGCCACCATGTGCGGATGTGCCATATTTTCTGACGAGCACTCTTCACCGTTGGATGGTCACGTTACCAGCTCGGTCCTCAGCAGCTTGATCAGCGACCCAACTGGCCTGCCTCCAATCCAAGGGTAGAGAGTTGTGAGGCTCGCAAACTTCCAGAATGGATAATGCCCATATCCGAGAAGACCAAGCCCTGGCCACCAGTGCCCGCAAGGGGTGAGAAGTGTGGCGTTGTGTCCTGCTGCGGCTACCCATGATCACCGTGCCTGCTTGCCCAGGCATCTGAAGCAGCAGCGTCCAACGGGCGACGCGTCTATGGCCATGGCCACCACCTCCTCCCGACTCACCACCACCCAGTACTCCTTCCTCTCCTCCACGCCATGCTCGCCCGCCACCATGGCGGCGCTCCCGCGGCGGCGGAGACCCAGCGCGCGGTACCCACGCATCCAGGCCATCGAGTTCGACCAGAACACGGTGCGCCCAAAAAGGCTAGAACGCCCGTTCTATGGAGGTTGCCACTTGATTTCCTGCCGAGTTTTAACGAGCGGTTTCTTGGTGGCTTCAGGTCGTGGCCATAACTGTCGGCGTCGTCAGCGTCGCCGCCGGGATAGGCATCCCGATTTTCTACGAGAATCAAATTGATAATTCCGTAAGTTTTCTTAAGCAAGAATGGTATTTGGACAATTAAGTTTGCTGAAGTAAGATTAGGAGTAGCATTTTTTCTAGAAACATGTTGACTGAAACTGAAAGAGCCTAGACCATGCCCTTGCATTGATGCAAAATGTGATTTTGATTTTCTCCAATGCAGGCGAAGAGAGACAACAACCAGCCGTGCTTCCCCTGCAGCGGCTCCGGCGCGCGTATGTGATTATGCCCTTCGATTGATGTCCTAATTTGGTCCGCTCTTCAAAATTTTAATATGTTCGTTCCAATGCCATGGTACACTACATGTACAATGAGACGAACTGTTGGATTTTGGAAGCGTTAAAGTTTGAGTTTGATAGGAAATTTCCATATAAGATGTAACAACCGGTTAGTTTAGCTTGCATTATATTTGCTCTCCATTTTGGTAGTCTTGTTTTAGCTGGAATGACCTTTTCAGATGTTGGGCGTTGCATCTAGGTCTTTCGTGCCTTGTACGGTGGATGTTAACTGAATAATTTTTGTTTTGCACCTATGTTATAACTGAATAATTGAACTGATGTATTCATTGTTTCACTCAGTGAAATGGAATTGGGCTGCGGCCTGTTTCTTGAAAAAAAATCAATTTATTTTTTGCAAAACACTATATCCAATAGTAACTTGGTTCAACCATATGTGGCATCTTCCATGTCAGGCAGAATAATCTGTGGTGCTTTATATATAACACAACCTTCTCTTCCTCGACCACATGGTGTTTCCACTTTCCAGCTAGTTCTTAATTTGATGTGGCAATAGAACCGGGTGGCATTGGGAGAATTCAGTCGTCAAACTTAATAAAGGAATTTTGATATTTCTTCGACTATTTGTTTGATTGCACAAGGCGTTAAGCAACGAAGCTGATGATGTTAAAAGAGTATGATGTCAAATGACAAGCCTTCTCCTGTCTGAAATAGCTATATCTTAAATGGAATCCTTAGATAAAAAAGAATCAAAAGTTCTCTTTGTGAGTTTCAACAACTTAATTAGACTATTCCCTTAAACCGGAAGAGGATGACTAGCCATAGCAAAATCAAATGATGACTTCATGGTGCATGCCGCACACATTATTCTTTTCCTTTTTCTCTGTGTCAGCATCTAGTAGATCAGAATGTTGAAAAGAAATCGTTGATTTTCCAGAGGTATGCAGGTTTTGCACCGGAGCAGGGACTGTTACTGTAGTAATTGGCAATGGTGAATCTGAAGTATCAAAGTGTGTCAACTGCGATGGCATTGGCTCATTGACATGTACCACATGCCAAGGTAGTGGCATTCAGCCACGCTATCTTGATCGCAGGTAATGGGTTGTTCTCTAATGCTTTCATATATGTTTGTCTGTGGAATAACACCATGCTAGTTTATTTAACAACTTCAGAGTGGTACTATTGAATTACCAAAATGAAAGCATGCTTAACACATAAAAATTACTTGAAGCCATCATAATGTGGATCTTTCATGTAGAGATGACAAAATTACTTAGCTACAGATGGCCCATAGTGTTTTTCATATTGTATAGGAACCTGTCATGCCGGGACCTTGCCTTTTATGCCCTTGATAACAGGAGTATTGAATATACCCGTTTCTTATGCCCAAACATTTTGGCCAAGTGGCGACATTCCGAATAAATGGATGTACCTTGAACAAAGGAGATGTCTGATGGTCTGTTTATTTGGTTGACTAACCAGGGAGTTCAAGGATGATGATGACTGAAGATTTTTTCGTTACGAGCTAACGGCGGTAAGGTGAGGAATCTGATCTAAGGATGATGCTGAATACTTGGTGACGATGTGTCCATCAGGAATGATATGATTGTTTTGTGTTGTATTATATTCATCTCCCTTTTTGGTAAATATGTATGGATGTACATGCACACTCTTTTGATGTCTGAAAATGACTGTCCCTCAGTGGGCAAAGATGATATTTTCTTGTTGAACATTTTCAATATATGTCACATAGCGTGTTCTTTCCAATGTACTAGAAGATAGAAGATGACTCTGCATTGCGTTGGTGCTTATATTGTGGAGCAGCCAAGTTATATGCCACAATCTTTAGGATGTCAACTTTTCAGCCAATTGGTTAGTGGATGTAACACAATAGTGGAAACCAAATTGAGGGCTTCTGAGCACAGTGAGGGCAGTGTTGACCTAAGACCACAGGTCATCCCTTGTAAAACTTACGTGTACATGAATATGTCGCAACGTGGACGAGCTCCCTGGGGTTGCTGAGGCAGTGTTGGGTACGCACTTCTTTGATTTTTTCTATGAAATCGAGAAGGTGTTGGTTCGTGATCCAGAAAGAGAGAAAAGGGAAGTGCAGATGGAGGCGGATGTTAACAAATCCCCTTTTGTGAGAACATCCACATGGGGCAAGCATGACCCTAAGTCTGGACACAAAGGAAAAAATGATGGATACAGTAAAAATGGTGGTGATGGGGACGAGAACCCTGTCGATGAGAAAGAAGGAGAAAGCATGGAATCTAAGGAATCAGAAGATAACACACTGTTAATTGAAACCATGGTTGTGGAGGCATATAACAAAGAAAAAGCGCAGGCCTCTCAGGCAATGCTAGGTGTTGATGACACCAAGCATAATGTTGATGAGATTCAGGTAGAAAAAAAATGTTGATACATGTTCACATGTTGCTGTTATGCCCCATGATGATATAGCTCATTTAAATGTGGCTATGGATTATGAACAGGTGGTGGAACTTGAGGGAGAGGACCTTTCCAAGTTGGAGAAATCAGATTATCTGGTACAGTTTCCTGCCTCCCCTTCTAAGGATGTGGGAGAGGTGATTCCTACCCCTCCCCTTTTATCTGAAGAGGTTCAGAGGTTTAGCTTGAGGAACTTGCAGAATATGGAGGGAAGAATGCAAGAGAGAGCTGTTGCCATTTCCAAGAAGAGAAATTTTGAAGGTAATTCAGCTAACCATAACTCCTTTGATGCACTAGCTAATCCTGAACTGTGCTGTGAAAATGGGGGTAGCTTTCCCTGACAATAACTTCTCTAATGTGGATATTATTAGAGAACTTGAAATAGTCAGGGGGGAAATGTCCAAAACAGAGAGGGGTCAAAATGTGAGGGTAGAGGAAGAAATGATGTATATCACTAATGGTAAGGGAGACCAAACCCCTGTTAGTACTGACTGGGGGATGGGGAAGAGGACATGGAAGAGCAATTTACCTTGGTCCGGTCTAGGAAAAGGAAAAGCCCTAAAGTGAAAGTGGCTACTTCCAGGCCCATTACTAGAAGTCAAAAAAATCATGTGGAAAGAACACAGGCTGGCAGCCCTGTCCATAATACCAGGGCCACCAGAAGAGGGCGAAAGGGGAAAAGATACAAATGATAGGTCTATTTTGAAATTGCAGGGGGCAGGAAAGAAAGGAATGAGAACCTGCCTGTCCCATATGATTAAGGACCATTCTCTTGACTTTCTTTGTTTGCAAGAAACGTTGAAGAAGAATTTTTGGATAGTTATTTTAGAAAGCTCGACCCTCACAACTTGTTTGAGTGGGAGTGGATCCCCTCAATTGGCAAGGCTGGAGGTATCCTATGTGGGGTTCGGAAGGAGAAGTTTGAAGTAGTTGCTTGGAGAAAAGGCAGGTTCATTCTCCAGGTATCTCTTTATGATATTAGTATGAAAAAGATCTGGACTCTTTGTAGTGTCTATGGAGCAGCCCATGAGGGGGATAAAAGTGATTTTCTTAGTGAATTGGCCGATTTCTATTGCCATATTCAAACTCCTTTATTGATTGGGGGAGACTTCAATATCCTCAGACATAGTGGAGAAAAGAATAAAAGATGGCGTCGAACAGCACATTCTGACCTGTTCAACTCAATCATTAACACTATGTGTTTGAGGGAGATTTATATGAGTGGGGGCGTACACTTGGTCTAATAACCAAGCTCATCCGACCTTGGAGAAATTGGATCGTGTTCTTATGAGTAATGAGTGGGAGGAGATGTTTCCTATGGTTAACATGAAGAAACTCGTTAGGGAGATTTCTGATCACAATGCTCTCTTATTGTACTCTGATAACCATGTTATCAGAGCCCCACAAAAAAGAGAGTTCAGATTTGAAATAAGCTGGCTAAAATCTGAGGAATTTCTTCCTCTAGTTAGCAAAATCTGGAATCAGAACGTGAATGCCACCGATCCTGTTGATATTCTAAATATCAAGTTAAAAAGATTTAAGAAGTTTTTCAAAGGCTGGGGATCGAATAAGTTCGGTCATGAAAAGAAAAGGAAGCAGGAGATTAGAGAAGAACTTGCTTTCATTGAGAAAATAGAAGAGGAGGGGGAGATAGACCATGAACTGTTTTGTAGGAGGACTGGTCTCCTTGTGGAGATGAATGAAATTCTTGTCAATGAGGAGCTTTTTCTGCTGCAGCAATCTAATGAAAGATGGCTGCTTGGGGGGGATCACAACACCGCTTATTACCAAAAAATTGCTAACGGTAATAAGCGGAAAAACACTATACATTTGCTTCATGCTGGGAGTACGGTGATTGAGGGGACTGAGAAACTGCTGGAGCATGCCACTGATTTTTACAAAAATCTTTTTGGGCCGGCTCAGGGAAACATATTCCACCTTGACCCGGATATTTGGGGGGCAGAAGAAAAGCTCGATGAGCTGGACAACGAGATTCTTAATAAACCTTTCACAGAGGAAGAAGTGAAGAGAGCCTTGTTTTCCATGAAAAGTAACAGGGCCCCTGGCCCGGATAATATCCCCGCTGAATTTTACCAGCATTGCTGGGAGATAGTGAAGAGCAATATCATGAGACTGTTTACTGCCTTTCATGCTGGGGAACTTGATGTCTGTAGATTGAACTATGGCATTATTACTTTACTGCCTAAAATCAACGGGGCCAATAAGATTCAGCAGTTCAGGCCGATCTGCCTGCTTAGATGTCCCTATAAGTTGGTAACTAAGGTGCTGGATAACAGGGTGACCCCCTTTGCTGATAAGCTATTTAATAGACACCAGAATGCATTTGTCAAGCATAGAAATATCATGGATGGAGTATTATCTTTGCATGAAATTCTGCATCATACTTACATCAAGAAGAAGGTGGGCATTGTCATTAAGCTTGCTTTCGAGAAAGCATATGACAAAGTGAATTGGGACTTTCTTTTGGAATCTCTCGAGATGAGAGGGTTTGGTCCCACATGGTGTGGGTGGATTAAAAGTGTTTTGGTTGATGGCACAGTTAGTGTGAAGTTGAATAACGTTGTGGGGCCATATTTCAAGAGCTTTAAAGGGGTTAGACAGGGGGATCCGGTGTCACCCTTTCTTTTTAATATTGCTGCCGAGTGCCTGTGTAAAATGGTGCTGCAGGCACAGAAGAATAATTTAGTTCTTGGGCTCGCTCCGGACCTTGTTGAAAAGGGAGTGGCCATATTGCAATATGCAGATGACACGGTCTTGTGCATTGATCATGATCTGGAAAAAGCTGTGAACATGAAGTTGTTGTTATACATTTTTGAGCTCATGTCTGGGCTCAAAATCAATTTCCAGAAAAGTGAGATCCTGTGTGTAGGGGGGGATGACGATATCCTTAAAGCATATGCTGATATGTTCGATTGTCAAATAGGGCACTTTCCCATGAAATATCTGGGGGTGCCAGTGACCTTTTCTTCTTTACGAGTTGCTGACTGGGACTTTTTAGAGTCCAGATTCATTAAGAGATGTGACTCTGGCCTGGGGGGCAATGCCTCATCTGGGGGACGTTTAACGCTGCTCAATGTTAACATTTCTAGCATTGCTTTTTATTATATGTCTATGTTCCTTCTTTCTAAAACTATACTGGCCAGGATTGATAAATGTAGAAGGAGATTGGCATGTGACCCAGAATAAGAAACGGTATTACCTTGTTAAGTGGACTAGAATTTGTAGATCCAAGAATAAAGGAGGGCTGGGTGTGAAAGATTTGCATAAGCAGAACCTTAGCCTGCTTACTAAATGGTGGTGGAAGTTGTGAAAGCTAAATATTTCAGTAGGGCTACTGTGGCTGACATTAAAATGAAGTGCAATGACTCACCATGCTGGAAAGCGGTCATGAAAGTGAAAAATCTTTATATGGCAGGGAGGAGAGTAATTGTTCAATCGGGAAACATTGCTAGGCTATGGATTGACCCCATTGGGGACAATATCCCTCTGGCTGAGCAGTTCCCTCGTCTTTTCTCGATCTACAATTATCCTGAGTGCACTGTTAATAAGTGCTTAAATGATGATCCCTCCTCATTCTTTAGAAGGAGACTAAATGGTGAGATTTTTGATCAATGGGTCGTGGTTGGTAATATGGCCAGGGAAGCATGTGTTTCAGATGCCTCTAATGTGATCAAATGGGGCTTGGGTGGTAGAACCTCTTTTACCACCAAATCGGTGTACTCGTTCCTGGAAAAGAATATTGTTGGATGCGACTACAGATGGATTTGGAGTGCCAGAATCCCTCTCAAAATTTAAATATTCCTGTGGCAACTTTTTTAGGATGCTGTCCTGACTAGGGATGTGATGAAACATCGTGGTTGGAAAGGGAATCCAAAATGCTCTTTTTGCGGAGGAAGAGAGACCGCACAGCACTTGTTCTTCGCTTGCCCTGTTGCCAGGATAACCTGGAGGGCAGTGGCATGTATGTTTGGCACTGCTTTATGCCCTGATAATATTTGGCAGGCCTACTCTTGGTGTTTTACATTCTTACCTGGG